ATATATATATATATATATATAAAATTTCTTTAGTATTTTCTGTCCTTTCTATCCTGTTAAGAATTTATGTGTATTATTTTAAAAGACTAGAAGGTAGAATAAAAAAAAAAAGTTTTTTGTTTTTTAAGAATTTATAAGAACTAGGTTGTGTATTTAAATATGCATTTATATAATTTTGAGAAAAGAAGCTAATCTACTGCAAGGGAAATGAAACTGCCACCGCATGAGCCACAGGGCACACCCAAAGCATCTTAACACCCACACCAAAGCGATTTCATACCCAAGACATTTAAACATCAAAACACCTATAGTTAGTGAAAGTAAGTGACCATGTGTGCATGTATACACATTTATACCAATTAGAAACATGATGTTATGTTTGCTACAAGTGTGTATTAGTATGTGTGTATGCATGTTTGAGTTTATGTGTGAATCTCACCTGTAGTTCTGCCATAATCTTGTCTCCCTCATCCTCTTCCTCAGTGATAGCCGAGGCAGCGATAGGTGGAGGAGTAATGGGTTTGGGCTTCACCTCTGGAGAGGACTTTGGTTCAGGCTGAGAGGCTGTACCGTTGGACTCCTCTTCACCCTCCTACGAAACAAGTTATAATAATTATTATTTTGAAACAGAATTAAAATTTATTTTATATTTATAGTTTTATTTTATTATTTTATTTATATTAATAGTTATTTAAAAATATAATTAAAAGTTCATGTAATTATGTTTGTTTATCTTTTTTTATTTTATTTGTACAGACAAAGTATATATATATCAATAATACACATATATATCCTGCAAACACACTTGTACCATAACAGACTCCTTCCTGCTGGTGTAAATGACCTCTCCAGATCGGGTGGTGGTCATCCCAGTGTTGGTGGTGTAGTTTCGTCGAGGTGGGGGTGGAGGAGGGGACTTGTTGGCTTTGTCTGTGGTCGGAAGCTTAACAACTTTTTCCTGAGTCTTACTTTGTCTCTCCAGGCTGGATTTGATGGATAGGTTGGGCTTAAGAGGTCTCTCCAAAGCTGACTTAACTGGTTTCTCCAGAGGTTTGGGAGGTTTCTCTGGAGCAGTCTTAGTAGGTTTCTCAGAGTTTGGCTGATTGTCATCTGCAGAAACAGAATTAAGTATAAACATCGCCAAATGAGCTCTGATGTCTCTTTCAGTCTCTTACCCTGTTTTTCTGGTGCTGCTGTGGGCTCATCTTTTTCTACCACCTCCTCCAGGGAGGCAAGAACCACTTCAGGGGAGCCCTCGGGTTCGCTGGGCACCTCAAGGTTTGGTATTCCTCTCAGCATGTTGGCTTCTGCTTCCTGGAGCATCCGTTCGAACTCCTGCCCATCATAATGACCCATGTTCTGCCTCTTCTCCTCCCATTCTTTCTCTGCAGCCTGAAGATACCAATCAAACTAGTAACTAAACAAGGGAACACACATTTTCACCTCACCCATTTGGTTTATCATGCACAATACTCACCTCTATTGACACAGCCCTGTTCTTGTTCTTGCTGCGACTAGCGCGTATCTCCTCAATGAAGTTTGGAGAAGGACCTTTGCCATGAATGCCATTAGCTGAGACTCCATTGCTGCTGTTATTTGGTATTTGTGTCTGCTCAAGTGAGGGTTTTTTGAGCTGTTTGGTGGGTGAAGGGGTAGACTCTCGTCTTTGTGCTGCAGGGGGAATGGGTGAAGGTGCTGTTGATTGCTGGGATTGTTGTGAAGCTACAGGAGAGGCCTGGGCATGGTGGATCACCACAGGATTTGACGTCATAACCTCTGACCTCACTGTGGAGCTCTGAGGTGCAACCGAGGCAGCCTCGAGGGATTCAACAATGGCCGATTCTGTTTTTTCAGAGGCAGAAGATGTCGAGGAAATAGGGTCAGAGGGTTTCAGCAGGCTATCTGTGGCAGACCTAAAGAACAAATGACATATCAAACAGAAATCAATGAGGAAAACATTCACAATACAGTAAAATCTAACCAAATTTAAAATCACAAGCTCATTTTTATCATCTCTATAATATGAGTAAAGCTGGTGTAATTTTTTAAATATAAAATACTCCTATTACAGCTGATTTCCTCTATAGAGGCTTTCAGAACATTTCTCAACATTGGTTCAACTACCTGTTTGAACAAACAATGAAAGACAGAGTATTTGAGATTCCTATTTGTACTGCACATAACTGAGGTTTGAAAAAACACATATCTTGTCCTGGACGTTTGTGCTACCAACATGAATACTATGAACCCTATTACATTACTTGTATTTGAAATGATCTAATCTATAAAATAAAAATAAATATAAATTTTTACATTTAAAATCAAAAACATAAATCAAAATGAGAAATTCATGTATAATAGAATAGAAATAAAATGGATTTTAAAGAAGAAAGGGTAAAAGAAAAGGAGAAAAAAGAACTAGGCTAACCAAATTTAAAATCACAAGCTCATTTTTATCATCTCTATAATATTTTTTGAGGAGTAAAGCTGAAGTGTGTAATTTTTAAAATATAAAATACTCCTATTACAGCTGATTTCCTCTAGAGGCTCTGTGAGGCTTTCAGAACATTTCTCAACATTGGTTCAACTACCCGTTTGAACAAACAATGAAAGACAGAGTATTTGAGATTCCTATTTGTACTGCACATAACTGAGGTTTGAAAAAACACATATCTTGTCCTGGACGTTTGTGCTACCAACATGAATACTATGAACCCTATTACATTACTTGTATTTGAAATGATCTAATCTATAAAATAAAAATAAATATAAATTTTTACATTTAAAATCAAAAACATAAATCAAAATGAGAAATTCATGTATAATAGAATAGAAATAAAATGGATTTTAAAGAAGAAAGGGTAAAAGAAAAGGAGAAAAAAGAACTAGGATGCCAATGTAATTGAATTTAAATAAAATTAATAAAATATTAAAAAAGAAAGAAATTAAGCAGGTAAAATATAATGTAAGATAAAAATATAATCTAATTAAATTTCATTAAAGTAATTACATTTCATTTAATTTTTTTTACATTTAAATTTAATTACACTATATAAAATATATTATAAAAAATATAAATAAAAAAGAAAATATAAAAAAGAAAAAGAGGAAAAAATTAATATAAATGACTAAGCACTCAGGTTTTTGCCTGATTTTTGCTTGGCAGATAACAAAATGGGCGTTAAAAGGAGAAACGTAGCCATATCTAGACTTGAGGGAGAACACATTTGACTTGGGCCAATAAGTAACCAATTATAAACCACCCGGAAAACCCTAGCAACCACCTATCAACACACACATATTCACACACATTTTCTTCAGAATGTGTAAAAATGTGTTTAATTTTGCAATTACATTTGGTGCTGCTAGTGGAGCTTTAGAAACAAAACACTTTTTTCCAGAGTGCTGATAATATTCATTACATTCGCACATTCATAGAGAACGGCAACCGGCTTGAGTCTGATCAGGTCTGACACGGAGGAGAAAGGAAGTGACTAGCAGCAGATGCTCCAGATCTCTCATCTGTTTAAACCTATACAGAGTCTCTGCTCACACATGATTACGATATGAATGAAAGATGGAGAACAGAAACTGCATATTCATTTCCATAACGCTCTGGCTGCTTGGATACGTGGCTGGAATCAGAAGGTGTACAGATCCATAAAGTTTCTCATAAAGTATTTTATTAACCACAATCTTGTTTTATTCGCAGTTGAAACGTCTGTCTCCATCTCTTTCTCTCTCTGTCTGTACCTGCGAAGGTTGCTGAGTGTGTCCGTGAGGGTTCGGACTCTCTTCAGCATGCTGTCAAGCTTGTGCGGCTCTTCTTTGAGGAACTTCACGGCCTCCACCTCCACCCTGAGCACCGCCCGCATACGGGATTGAAGAGATGGAAACTCTTCTGCAAGAAAGATATTTTGCTACTAGTCTGAGTGTTAAAACCACCTGACATTTAAAACTGTTTACGCATGTGGTGCGTCATGAAGCATATGATTGGAGTGGAGTGGGAGGATTTTCCCTGGAGGTGTGAAATGTGAGCATATTCTATATAAAGATGTCATTTTAGCACTGTAAGCAAGTGACAAACAGCGTATCGCGGTGGATCTGTCACAATCCACACCCCAAAGGACACAGCTGGCCCACGGTTTCTTTAAGTTGCATAATATTAACATGTGTGGGCAAGTCTAATACCGGAGAATACTCAACTTCCTGTAACTAAGGAAAACATTCTGAACAACAAGAAAGCAAAGTCCAGTTGCTTACAATCAATTATTATATAAAATAGTTTGTCTGAGGTATTTCAGTGAGTAATTTATGTTGTTGTACCTTTCAGTCCAGCCAGGTTCTCGCCCACCTTCCTCAGACTGACAGCTCCCTCCTCTACCTCCTTCAGCGTCTCGGATCTCTGAGGCGCAGCAGGGCTAGAATCAGTCCTCAGTGTCTCCACGTACTGCTCCAGATCCCTACACACAAACACACTTGACAATTATGACACAAATAGCAGCACAAAAATACTTATATTATTACTGATGAGCCAATCCATCCACATAAATTTGTGTTTTTGTCATCCAGTCATCCAGTGAATATTGAAATGACACTGTTGTGACACCAGAGGGCAGTGCAGATTCCACTTCATGCTCCTGACATTTTTTTTGCCATCCAGTGTCTTATGTGGACTTTGTTGCTAAAATGTAGGTTTATGAAAACTATGCAAGTGCTTGCAGGTGATTTATTGAGAATTATTACATTATGGCCACTATGATTTGTTTATGTTACACTACACTTGTTTACATCAGTGGTTCTCAGCCTCTTGTACAACACAATATTCACTTTGATGTTATGTTTTTAGTATTTTGGCTTATTTTAAAATAAAAACAAAATTGAATTTTAAACCATTTTAAGCCCCCTGGTTGAGAACCACTAGTTTATATTACTGTACAGGGTTTTACACTAACCTGGTAAACCTGCTGAACTGATCAAATATACAGGAATAATTTTACAGACTATAACATTCATTACAATATTAAAATATATATATTTTTTCCTTTTGATAATTTCCCCCTAATTTCCCTAAATACTAATGAGTCTGTGAAATACTGTCTTTCACAAAAATGGTTATTGTTTATGTTTATATGGGTGGATCAATACCAGCAATGTGCTAGTTCTGGATACCAGCAATAAGAAGTTTATTTTTATAACTTTCATTTTTATATTGTGTTTTAAACCATGTTTTAAGAGTTACAGACTAATTAGTCAGTATTCACTCCCATTTCGCACTTGGTGAATGTTAATTGGACCCTGTTAGCGTATGTACAAGCACTAACAGAAGAATAAAATATAAATCGGAAGTGTCAAGTAAGCAGATTTTACACTTTAACAGTTTAAATTGGTCTGCACTGTTATTTATTTATTAGGCTTTTTTAAACAATAGATTTTATGTTATGATGCATTCTAGTACACTCATCTTAAGTTCCAAAAAAAATAAATAACGCAATTTATGTTGAAATTAAATTATGTTCTACATCATATTAAATACATCATTATATAAATTATGTGCAATCTGGTGTATAAAATGAGGCAGTTTGCTAATGTTCCACATTTCGCATCTCCTTTCACAAAGAAGAAAAAACTGCTGTTTTGATGCCACATTCCTCAGCCTCCACTCGTGTAAAAGTCAAACTGTCCTTCGATTCACTGCTCACAGGCACCCAGAGACCTTTGCTGACTGGACACTGGCGTAAAACCAAGGAAAACAGAGTGTTAATGCTGCTCCTGATCTCTGCCTAGTGTTAATTCCCACTGAGTTCAGTTTTTCATGTTTACAGCTGTCTAGAGATCACGCTTGTTAACCAGTTAAATTAAAGTGGGATTTAATTACGGTTTACACACAGCAGGGCAGACAGGGCTATTATGAGTTAAAAGAGGGGCTGTAATGAATCGTATGAGGAATGATTTAGAATGAAAGGCATTTGTTTGCCCAAAGGAAAGTGAATTTCAGATTGCACAGTGTGTGTGTGTGTGTGTGTGTGTGTGAGAGAGTGTGTGTCGTACTCCAGCTGGGTGAGAACTCTTTCCTGCATGTTGAGATATTGGTGTCTCTCTTCCTCCACCAGTGTCCTCTGTTTCTGTGTTGGATCGTCCTGTCGTCTCAGCATTTCAGCCAACTTCACACTGATCTCTTGCTCTGCATGCTTTATCTGAGCACGCACACACTCCTGATTCTGAAGCTGAAAACACACACATGACCATTTACTACAGGATACATTAGCATTCAAAAGTTTGGGGTCGGTAAGATTTTTTATTGTTTTTGAAACAAGTCTCTTATGCTCACCAGGGCTGCACTTTGATAAAAAAACCCGCAAAATTGTGAAATATGAGTACAATTTAAAACAACTTCTTTTCTATTTCAATATTTTATGCTAATTATTTCTGTGATGTCAAAAATTAATCTAATATGCTGATTCGCTACTCAACAAAAATGTCTTATTATTAATTGTGCTGCTTAATATTTCTTTGATGAGTAGAAAAAAACAGTATTTATTTGAAATAGAATTCCTTTGTAACATTATAAATGTCTTTATTGTGACTTTTGATTAATTTAATCCATCCTTGCTAAATATATTAATTTCAAAATCTTACTGAAAGTTAGTCAAAATAATTTTTTAAAATATAAATGCAAAGAAAACATTTATTTCAAGATTCATCATATTCAGTACACATTATTTTTAGGTCCTTGTTTAACATTTACCTTACAGTTGATATAACGTCTCTAGGTTACGTATGTAACCATGGTTCCCCGAAGGGAACGAGACGCTGCGTCGAACGCTTTGGGAACGCCCTCGGCGAGACACCGTACTGAAGCCTGTGTGAAATCAGTCCAATAGCGAAGCGAGACGTCACGAGCGGGGTGACGTAAGACTGATTTCACACAGGCTTCAGTACGGTGTCTCGCCGAGGGCGTTCCCAAAGCGTTCGACGCAGCTCGAGTTCCTGAAGGGGAACCAAGGCAGCGCAAGTGTGGAAAAAATATTTTAGCCAATAGTAATTGGAAAGCCCACTTTTCACAGTCCAATCAAGTCCTAATGGCCCAAATTAAGTCCCTCCTTATATAATTTTGCCCTGAATATTATTTTACTGAATGTAAATCTGTCCCATTACTCTAGATAAATGAATTGTGAATGTTGTTTCATGCTGTCTTGACAATAAATAAATAAACATTAAGACACCTGTTGAAAAAATATGGGGCAAAATGCATATTATAACTGCAGATTTCTCATGATAATAACTGATTGGCACTTTAATTACCTGTAGTTGTCTCATATGTTGCAGTTGGAGGCGGAGCTCAGAGATATTTTTCTTGAACATGTGTAGGTTAACATGCAAGGGGGCAGGGCCTAGTGGTGGTGTAGGGGCGGGGCTACGCTCAGGAGGTGCTGCAGCAACTTTTGTTGCTAATACTGGAGAACCTCCTAAACAAAACACAAAAACACACACAAAAAACATGACCTACAATGACAACCATAAGTATTTCATGGTAAGAAGTCAGACTGGGCTCTCAAACTTGTGTGTGACAAAGTTGACAGACAGATTGCTGGAAATAATGTGATAGTCCAGGTTTTATAGTTTAAAAAGGGAGTTTATTATCTTTGTATAACTCAAGAAATTATGAAGTGCTCAGAGACATTTTTCCTGAACAGGTGAAGGTTAACATGCAAGGGGGTGGGGCCTAGTGGTGGTGTAGGGGCGGGGCTACGCTCAGGAGGTGCTGCAGCAACTTTTGTTGCTAATACTGGAGAACCTCCTAAACAAAACACAAAAACACACACAAAAAACATGACCTACAATGACAACCATAAGTATTTCATGGTAAGAAGTCAGACTGGGCTCTCAAACTTGTGTGTGACAAAGTTGACAGACAGATTGCTGGAAATAATGTGATAGTCCAGGTTTTATAGTTTAAAAAGGGAGTTTATTATCTTTGTATAACTCAAGAAATTATGAAGTTGATTTCATCAATTTAAGTGTCTGAACAAAACTATATTCATATATATTGTCCCTAAGCTTAAGGAGATGTGATATTTGTCGTTGTACCCATATTTGACCATAACACTCGGTAAGATTACATTTCAAACTCCACTGAGCATAAAAACAAAATACAGCAATTCAGGTCAGTTCTTGCAAAACTACATATTTATGAGAGTGCGCAAGATAGCACGTAGACATGTTTGTTCTTTTGCGGCTTATGCTGTTTGAGTGACTTGCTCTCTGTGTTCACATCAGCGTGCATGTGTGGAAAGAGTGGAAAACTTGGCAAGCTGCATTTCTGAGTGACAGATGAGTGAGAGAGATCGGATTTTTGGGCTGCGACAACCAGCACTGCATATTAATCCGTCATAGTCCTCCTATTTTCTTTTCTTATTTGATTTGGGAAACAATGTGATATTCTGGGAACTACATTACCCAGCCTGCCCTGCTTACCTGGGGTGTTCCTTGTTGCTGTTAGTGCTGTGGCTCTTTAAGAGAGCATGCTGCACAAGACCAGTCAGACTGGCTATTTGCTCTTCCATGGCCTTCATTCTCTCTCTGCAGAGAGACAGAGCATATCGCATGCTTACTACTGATGGAGCATGTGCAAAGACATAAATTACATTTTAAAATATATGCAAACAGAAAACAGGATTTTTAAATTGTAATAATATTTCAAATTATTATTGTTTTACTGTATATTTGTTGAGCATAAGATTTTTCAAAAACATTAAAAAATGTATGTAAATTTAAATGTATGCTGCCATTCATAAAGTGGGAATTTTTATGTGAAACTGCACAGAAAAAAAACGAAGTAAAAAAAAAAAATCTCTTGGCAACATATTCACCACATTTAAATTATAAAAAAATATATATTCAAGGTCAATCCTAACTACAAAAAGCATTAAGCGAAAGGGAGTATGAATTGGATTCCTGCCTATGATCTTTGTAGCATATACAAAAAGACACAATAAATCACTAAGATTAACTTGTCAAATGATGATTAACTAAAGTCTAAAAAAACGCTAAACTGCCCATTTGCCCTTTCTGTGCCAATACACACAGTGAACCACTATTTCTTTGCTGTCCAAGATAATGTTAGAAACGTCTGGCCTGCATGTGCTCTGCCCTTTAAAAACAATTCAGCATGTTGATCCTGTGTATTGACTCTTCTCAGCTAGCGAGTACATCGCCAAGCACGTACAGGGTTGACTTACAGGGCACAGACAAACATAAAGGGTACGATTAAGTCCACTTAACCAACACAGCAAATAAAAAGCTGACTGAATTACAGTTCAAAGTATTTTTCTGAGTTACGTAAGGCTGTATTCTCGAAAACAAACCCAGCTAAACAGCTTTATCAACTCTAAAGAATTTACATTAACATAATAACTAGGGATGTAACATAATAACTAGCGAGACTAGTCGAATAGTTGACTAAACGATAATGCTGCTGCTAGTTGACAATGCAAATAGGCTAGTTGTTTACATTTTTTTGTTTCACTTTGTATTTTTTTTTTTTTACAAAGGATAAGTTCCATATTACTGTCATGCTAATCTTACATTTTAAAATGAATTATATTACTGTTAAATTATTTAAAATGAATTTAAAATTATTTAAGAATTTAAAATTATTTAAAATGAATATATTATATGTTAAAAGTATATATCGGGAGTGGAAAACTAAATCATTTAATTTGACCTCAGACCTTGCATGCATTTGTTTTCTCTGTGTCACTCACTCACGGTGGGCTCCAAGAAATGTCCACTTAGAAGGTGAGGAAGTATTTTGACAGAATAAAACTGAAAAGTTTTGTGTAGTCTATATAATGTCAAATTGGTGCATACCATTTAAGCTTGCTTATAGGTTTTTTATACTACCAGTTATGAGGGACAATACCAGTATGACATTTTTGACCAGTTTAAAGGTTAAACATTATAAATGTATCTTACTTGCTTAAAATAGGCTATTGAGTTTCTACTTATTGGTACTGCACTGCCTATTGATTCAGCTGCTTTTAATATACAGTATATGTATTTGCTAACGTTGATTAAGTGAACACTTACGTTTATGTACAATGATCATAATGCAAGAGAAGCACATTGCATATATGACCTACTTCTCAGCAGTATTCGGTATGGAGTTTGACTGTTGGATTCATAGATTAAGGCCCAATCACCTTTCTACCCCTTATCCCTTCCCCTTTCCCCTAACCTTCTGTTTTGCACATTCACGTGAAGGGGTAGGGGTGTCTCGATTCTCTTTTGGTTGGAGGGGTAGGGGGAAGGGCCAGATAGCCCTTCAAACAAAGATTTTTCGGGACCCCGCTTCAAACTAATTATCTCAGCATACACTGTCTACAGTGGCAACATGGCTGCCCGAGCGAACAAGGAGAACCATAAATGTAAGCATTTTTGGCATTAATAAGAACATTAATAAAGAAAAATAATCTTTTTTTAATTAGGTGAAGGGGTATAAAATAGAATTGGGATTGGGCCTAAGTAGGCTATTTCAAATGGATCGCTTATACAGAAAGTTTTTTTGACTCTCTTTTGGGGGTTTGTTTGAGTAGTCGAATAGTTGGTTACAAAATTTCCATTTAAACGTTAATGTTCACAACTAATAACAGCTGCTAGTACTTAGACAAGACATTGTCGATGTGTTTTGGATGCAGTTAGGGAATGCCATGATGCAGTGGAAGACAATAGACTGATGCAGAGTTAGAATATGAGCATATCACAGATGCTGATGTATACTGGGATATTGTAGATGGAAAGTTAGTTATTTTCATGCTTAAATATCCTCATTTTCTCTAAATGATGACTTACCGTGTCTGAGGGTCTGTCGAGGGGGCAAGAGGATTGTGAACCTGAAGATCAGGGGTGGCCGGAGATCCCATGCCACCCCTTGCCTTTACCATGGTATCCATAGCAAGAGGAGTCTCCTTCCTAAACGATTGTCTGACAGGTGATGCCCTCTCCAGAGTCATGGAACTCTGTGGTTGGACTGTGTGAATGTCCATCATTCGCACCTCGCCCATCCGGTGTGGGGAAGGGGGCTGGGTTTTGGAGCCTAGCATGGGTAACTGGCTATCCGTGTACTTCCTGCTTTTCTGTCGGAAGAGCGAAGGATGGTCCGTGGGCTCCATGGGAACGCCGGGGTTACTGTAAGAGCGCATGGTGGCACGGTGGTAGGCGTGGTCTACTGTATCAGGGGGCGGGGCATGGTGATGTAACATATAGGGGTCAGCATAATGACTTTCGGCTCGGGCGGGCAGCGACATGCTCTTTGCAGCTACGTCCTCGTCAGGTTTGACATCACGCCGCTCGAGGATGGCGCTCGGGCAGGGGGAGGATGCGCGAGCGGGGCTGGAGGCGGGGAGTGTGTGTGCCGCTCGCTCACGTGGCATTGTGGAAACCCCACTGCCTGAGGTGCGTGGGCCAAAGGGGATACGAGATGGGGAGGGGGGCATGGCATGAGGTGTGGTAGGGGACATGGAGCCCTGCATATGGGGTGGAGGGGGACCCATTGGGGGCTGCCGGAGAGGATGACCACTCGGTCCAGCATACATAATCTCCCTGTGGACCTGAATGAGAGAGAAAAAGGACATAAGATTTCACATTAAAAGAGAGAAAAACTTTCAAACACAAGAAACCCAGCTGAATTAAAACAGCTTAAACTAGCCTAAACTGGTTTTCTGGTCTTAATTGGTCTTTTAGTCAGCTTAAGCCAGGCTTAAGATTTTTTTTCCCATCATAAAAAAAAAATGAATATAATGTATTGAAATATGTGATGTGAACAGAAAAAAGTTCATTGCATTTGGTAACAAGGCCTGTATTTGTTAAGTGACATTAAAATAAAATAAAATAATAAAATTAAATAAAAAAATTAAATAAAATCCCTTTACATCTCAAAAATACTTGCTAATATCACATTAAAATATTATATCTGACTATATATCTACATTTAGAACTATAATGTAATCTCTAAAAAAGTATGATTTATATGCTATTATAGTATTTATTAATATTCTGTGTTGGCTTTTATTTTTAATTTTGGTAATTTCAGTACTTCAACTTTTTTAATTTCAGAAAATTGACAGGGCAACATTTCTCATTTTCAGTTTCATTTTTCTGTTTTTCATCTAATATTTAGATTTTATTTCAGCTTTATTTCAATAACCAAAAATGATTTTGTAAAAGTTTTAGTTTTAATTAACAATAATAACACAGACGAATACACACAAAATTGATGTCCATGTAATCTTCAATGTTCTAGTTTAATCTTTTCTGACTTTTCTGTTCATTCATCACAGTGAGAAAGAAGTGTTACATTTCCATCTCACATGTGAAATGAAAGGGCTGAAAGACGTCAAAGAAAGAAGCACTGAGTGATCATGGTATTGACGGTAAAAAAATAATAAAAAAAACCCTACTTGGATCAAATAATATGTCATTGTGCTATTTCTAAAGTCAGAGCACCAGTAATCTGTGCTGCTTTTTTAAACAGGCAGCACACATGGGCAGTCTGATCTGACCTGACCACCCAAGAAGGTCCCCCAGAGTAGATTAATCACACTAATATGCTTCAGATGGAAGCTCATATTTTGGAAAAAATGTGCAAGTAGGTGGTGGACATAGGTGGTTATGGTTCATATACATCCCACAATGTAATTAAAAGGCATAAGTGGATATAGTTTGCCTCAATCAGAGTCTGTGTCCATAAAGCGACGCTACTGGTTTACCACAAATTAACTAAAAACAAAAGATGGATAGATAAGCTGCTGATAAACTGCCCTTTCATTCAGAAATAAGACCACTTAAAAATAATTCTTCAGTTGTATCTGCATCTGATCAGTAACTGCATCCAACAAAAAGTAAAAGAATAAACTACTGAGATTTCAAATATGACCTGAGCGGATGAAAGATTTCCGATCAGTGAGCTTCAGAATGCAGAACTTCATACCTGAGGATACTAGACAGACAAACTCAGATGTATCCGGCTCCAAACTCAGCAATGGGGAGCAACAGGAAAAGCCATATGACTTGACAGATGAATAGAATTCAGAGAAAAACTGGTTTAGAGTGAAACTAAATGTGCTATTTTTTCGGTACGTAAAATGACAAAACAAAAAAAAAGAGCATTCAGACTTTTCCATCACCTCAGGCCCAATTTCATTTAGCACAAAGATTTTTTTTTAAACCAGTAACTCGTTTAAAGCAGAAGTACCAAATCAAATCATATTCCATTTGAATTAGAATACACCTTAGAAGGCAGCTGCTATGAAAGCAGTAGTCAGTAAAGCAGTTATTGTTTGACTACGTCTGCCTCATCCAAAAATAGAAAACCAACAAAGCAGAGACATACAGAAGAAACAGACAAGAACGTGCCTTTAAGCCAAAGAGCTTTGTAAAATAATAGAAAGACGACAAAATGATGTTCCTTGGTTCGAAGCATTGCCCTGCTTCTCTGATCATCTCAAACAATGAGAGCATTGGCTGAGGTGAGTCAGCGTTCAGGCTCCACCCAGAACAGGTGAGACTTCCAAGTCTTTATCTGCCTCAGGACACCAGCATGCTATTTGATCAAAAATACAGTGCAAACATTAATATTGTAAAATATTAGTTTAAAATAACCTTTTCTATCTTAATATATTTTAAAATCTAATTTATTAAGTTACTCCAGCCTTCAGTGTCACATGATCCTTCAGAAATCATTCTAATAATCTGATCTGGTGGCCAGCCAAGAAATATTTCTTACGTCAAAGAAAGAAGCACTGAGTGATCATGGTATTGACGGTAAAAAAATAATAAAAAAAACCCTACTTGGATCAAATAATATGTCATTGTGCTATTTCTAAAGTCAGAGCACCAGTAATCTGTGCTGCTTTTTTAAACAGGCAGCACACATGGGCAGTCTGATCTGACCTGACCACCCAAGAAGGTCCCCCAGAGTAGATTAATCACACTAATATGCTTCAGATGGAAGCTCATATTTTGGAAAAAATGTGCAAGTAGGTGGTGGACATAGGTGGTTATGGTTCATATACATCCCACAATGTAATTAAAAGGCATAAGTGGATATAGTTTGCCTCAATCAGAGTCTGTGTCCATAAAGCGACGCTACTGGTTTACCACAAATTAACTAAAAACAAAAGATGGATAGATAAGCTGCTGATAAACTGCCCTTTCATTCAGAAATAAGACCACTTAAAAATAATTCTTCAGTTGTATCTGCATCTGATCAGTAACTGCATCCAACAAAAAGTAAAAGAATAAACTACTGAGATTTCAAATATGACCTGAGCGGATGAAAGATTTCCGATCAGTGAGCTTCAGAATGCAGAACTTCATACCTGAGGATACTAGACAGACAAACTCAGATGTATCCGGCTCCAAACTCAGCAATGGGGAGCAACAGGAAAAGCCATATGACTTGACAGATGAATAGAATTCAGAGAAAAACTGGTTTAGAGTGAAACTAAATGTGCTATTTTTTCGGTACGTAAAATGACAAAACAGAAAAATAGATCATTTTACATCACTCTGGTACACATATCCATATATACATATAAACAAATAATTCCACAAATATGGTCAACTTAAATGGTGTCACATTACAGCATTAGAGGCACAAAATACAATGTATTTTATGTGTTGTGAGATGTATTAATATGCTTTAAGAACTATTATTTAATTACTATCCACCTTACCTGATTCAGTGTTTTTTAAATTATACATTTAAATTTGGTACATTTTGACTACATGTGATATTTGTTAAATGTTTATTACTAAAACAAAATTGCTAAATCAAATAATGTGTAATGTTTTAATGTGTATTTAGACATCTCAAATTTTGCTAACAGGGTTGCAAAAACAAACAGCACCTTATTTCACTGCACATTTGTTGCAATAGATAGACTTGATAGATAGATAGATAGATAGATAGTATATACCCTATTCGTGCAAAGCCTGCTATGTTTATTTGAGCTGGGCGTCAAACCTATGATCCGTGTCAGTCACATGGTAAAGCATGTGAGAACTTGCATGAAACTTAAAGCTTTGATAGCTGTTATGCAATAACCTCTTGAAGGTGGAACAGGCTTTTTAACAGTAACCAAGAATCCCTGCTGATTATACTTTCCTTGATTTGTTACATGTACTGTTGTTCTATTTCATACCTAAACTAGAGGACGACCCAAGACCAAACACTTCTACAGACACACATTTGCCTAACATACAAAGCTTAATCAGAACGCCATATAAATGAGCTTTACTTTCAATGCATCTTGATTTCTCTGTAAACTGCCACAATGACAAATGCTGACACCGTTTCTGTGAACTTTGGCATGTGTCTGAACAACTTGTTCTCGCTCTCTTGTCAGAGAACAGATAATCTTTTGTATTCTTTCTCTCTCTCTTGTTTGTACGTATATATCTGTAAGTCATCACACAACATACTTTAATCTACTTAGACATGGACACGTGACACAAACAATAAGCCTTTCAACTTCTAACTTTGCATGCATACTCCTAAAAGCAACATGCAATGTTAATAAGAGCCTTAAAACAAAAATCAAACAAAATATAGTGAGTAAAGTCCTTCACTTCCTCAAACATTTACAACCTCCCTTAAGGGCTCTCATGTCAGCGTCTTAAGCTCTAATCAAATGCATATTAGCTGTGCGAGTTGGTCAAAGCCAGACCAGGGATTACCACAGACAAAAGTCTGGGGCTACCTTGTTAAATTTGGGGAAACACACAGAGAAAATGAAAGCCTTGCGATCTAATTTCCGTTACATTACCGGCAAACAAACAGGGCCGGCATGGCAAGAGATTAGAGGGGATTATGGGAAGAAAAGGAATGTGGAAAAAGTCTTTACTTTCTATTCAGTGCTTCCACCAATTCTGCTTCAATCCTGATCCAGTCCCCCTGAAATTAGGCCCGGGGGACAAAGACGGACATGAAAGGATTGGAATGGGGTGACCGGGGTGGGGGTGACTCTAACTGTGAAGAGGAGAGGGACCCCTGGAGATGGCCGAACAGAAGAGGGGAGGCCGGGAAGGGACCTGTTATTTAAATAATGCCCTCAGTTCATTCTTTCTTCTGAGCATGCCAAAAAATAAAAAGTGACAAAATGTGGGCATTACAGAGGATTTGCAAAAGAGCATATTTTCAAAATCAAGTAGTTAGTGGGTTAGGAAGTAGGGAAGCACTTGGTTCAGGGTTGTGTCCACTAGACACATGGTTGTTAAGCATGATATACATTGGAATCATATAGGTTATTGGGCAATATTTGGGATTTTTATTTATTGGTATGAATCAATAGTGGATATTTCTCAAGCTGATGTTGTACATTTAATTGTTCATGCTCATTTCTCCTATTTTTACATTAATCTGTAAAACATCATTAATTTAACGTCACTGTTAATGTCACATGTATGTTCGGTTCTCTTTTGTTTTTTGTTCTAGTTTTCCTTGTTCCAGTGTTTCACCCAGTTTCTTTTTTTTTTCCATTTTTCCCCACCACTGGTTAGTTTATATGGTTTCAGATTAGTTCACACCTGTTTCTGTTCACCTTGATTAGTTCTCTGCATATTTAAACCCTGTGTTTGGTTCAGTTCAGTTGTCTGTTATTGTTGCGCTCTACTTGGTTATTCTGTCCTGTTTTTCATGCATCCTGAGTTTCGGTTAATACATTTTACTACTGCTGCAAATAGATCCTGCTTCTACTACTTTTGCAACCAGTTAAATCTTTAGCAAATCTAAAAAATGAATATACATTTTTCAAAGTGTACATTATATTTAGGCACATGTTTGATGCCTAAATTCACTTGAAGCATAGCATTAAATCTAAAAAATTATCCCCCGGTTTCAAAGACAAGGCTTAAGCCTAGTCCCAGACTAAAGTCTAAGTCTGAGCTGTTTCAACTGAAAGAAACTTGCTCTGACTGATCTTAATATATATCAGTGCGTTTATTTTGTCTCAAAATGCACACCAGTAACGTTTTTTCTAAGGCACGTTTATAAAAATTACTTAAATTGATCTATGGCCTAATCCTGGCTTAGTCTAAACCCTGTCTGTGAAACCAGGCCATTAAATATTAAACAAATTTTAAATGTTTGATTTTTGTTCATTTATTTACAGTATAGAAACAGTATAGAAAAGGAGGGCAATTGTAAACAGTAAATTTTTCAGTTAGTCAGTTCATCATTGATTCAGTGATGTTGTCGTCCAGCTCAGTTCAGTTCAAATAGTAATCAAGCTGACAATTTTGCCAGAAATTAAGTGTCCCCAACTAAGCAAGCCAAAGGTGACAGTGGCAACTTGAGGAACCAAAACTCCCATCGGTGACAGATATAGAGGAGCAAAAAAAACCTTGGGAGAAACCAGGCTCAGTCGGGGGGCCAGTTCTCCTCTGGCCAGATGAAACCAGCATGTCAACGTAAAGACATGTATAATGTTATGAAATATTTTTGATTTCAAATAAATGCTATTCTTTTGAACGTTCTATTCATCAAAGAATCCTGAAAAAATGTATCACAATTTCCACAAAAATATTTTGAGCAGTAGTGTAGCTAGACTAGTGAACCTCACAAGTCGGTTGCTGGGTGACTTATCAACCATCTTTAACAGAAACCAGCCAACCAGAGCTCTCAACTGCACCAAACTCCATTAATTATTACATGTTCTTGTTTATCCACCGCTCTGCTTAAATATATCTGTTCTAACTTGCAACATCGAAGTCTAAAGTATTAGATACATACATTTCACAATATGAGGACCAAATACAAAGCCAGCCAAACTACATTTGTAGCTATCTAATTTTCCAGGAGAAGATCTCTCCATTAAGGCATCTGTCTTAACAAATATATCCACACTAGGTTGGCACTCACCCTTGCGTCTCCATTGCTTGGCCGAGCTCCATGACTGAAGGCGTGCGCTGGATCTTTGTGGTACACTTTCAGGCAGGAGTGATCTGTGATGTTCCTGTGTTGGGAGAAATCCACATCGGTTACATATACAGACCAAATGTCTCCATCCGAATGCGGTCGTGCACGGTGCATTGAAGGTCGACCCCTCAGCTCTGCCACAACAGGGTGCACTAGGGCTGATGAGATGTCAACACGTGAGAGCGGAGAGTGACAGCGAGAAAGGTCAAAGGAATCACGAGAATAAAGCGATTCACTGAGAGACACAGGTGAGTCGGGGCGAGAGGCAGGAGTGATCTGTGATGTTCCTGTGTTGGGAGAAATCCACATCGGTTACATATACAGACCAAATGTCTCCATCCGAACGCGGTCGTGCACGGTGCATTGAAGGTCGACCCCTCAGCTCGGCCACAACAGGGTGCACTAGGGCTGATGAGATGTCAACATGTGAGAGCGGAGAGTGACAGCGAGAAAGGTCAAAGGAATCATGAGAATAAAGCGATTCACTGAGAGACACAGGTGAGTCGGGGCGAGAAACTGGAGATGGAGGTGTGAAGCTACGGCTTTCTGAAACAAGATCCATGGTGGATGTCTGCGATGTCCATTAATGTCCAGACTATAATTCTCTGTAGGTCCAAGAATGATTTACTAATACAGTATTGAGCTAAAACATTAACTGTCTACAAAGTAACCATGTTTGTCTATGAATGTTTTTAAGTCTCTGTCTACCTGGATCGCTCATAATGTGTTGCGTGTGAAACCTAATTGTGCAAAGTGACGTGAGCATTTTTCTTATGAAGTCTGATATGTGGTCATGTGGCTGTAATTCAGATTTACAGCCTTGATAAAAAAAGGAGTTGTATCAAAGTACAAGTTACATCACCATGATAATGTAAGGAGACGGACTGATCCTCTGTCTACACAGGACAATATGCGTATGAGTCAATATTTATAGTCTCATCAGATCTGAGGAAAAAAAGTCAATGATTAAATTTGACTTTGTTTGGTCAGTTCTGTAAAGAAGACACCATGAAATTGTTTGACGGTCACATGATTCTTTCCTATATTGACTTATTTCCTGCTGAAACAATCAATCTAGGTAAATTGAACAAGTTTTGGGTGGGCAAGTTTTTTTTTATACTTTACTCAGCAAGGATGCATTAAATTAAGTGACAAAAAGTAACATTAAAAACATTTACAATGTTACAAAAGATTTATATTTTAAGTAAATGCTGTTCTTTTGAACTTTCTATTCACCAAAGAAGATCATTCATCATGGTTTCCACACAAAAAAAGCTGCGGTTTCCAGTTATTTTAAATTGTAATATTTCACAATATTACTGTTTTCACCTTATGTTTGATTAAATAAAAGCAGCCATGGTGAGAATAAAATAATATTACCAACCCCAAACTTTTGAACGGTAGTGTATATCTGCTAGAAGTTAATTTTGTCCATTTTTAGCAGTGTACTGGCATACAGACAGCTAACAGACATTGACTAAAAGTCACAAAACTCCAGTTCTCATTACATGGGGTCTTTTAAAGGTGATTCCCAAATGAGAAATATGTAAAGAGATACGGTAAGGAAAGCAATGTACACATAAGTGTTTGGAGACTGAGGGTGGAGGGAAAGACAAAAGACCCGAGAATGAGAGTGAAAGACGTGGGAGTGTTTGTTTGAAGTGTGACATTAAGTGGTGTGTTAACATTAGCTGTGCTGGTGGGAGATGTATAGACATTCGGGTTTATTGGTTTAATGTCAGAGAAACAAATGCTGTGAGGTATTTTAAAGTCTGAGTCTGTTCAGATGCAACCTAAATATAATGTTCTGTTCATGTGTATGTGAACAGGGTGGCTTATTCATGGTCTAGATTGTTTCAAAGAAATATTACTGAAGATTTTCACAGCTATAGTTCCATATTACAGTAATAATTCACCCCAAAAATGAAAAGTCTGTCATCATTTATTCACTGTCATTCCGTTCAAACCCATATAAATGTCTTAGTTTCACAAATAAGATTTGAGAGCCATGACAGCGAGCATTTTCAGCAAATACCAACTTAAATTGCAATGTGTTCCTCACATAAAGCTATCATATGACTTCAGAAGATTTGGAATATAATGCACAAGTGGTATGGTATGGACTACTTTTATGACACATTTAGGTTTCTTTTGTTGTTTTGTCTTTTAATTTGGAAGAAAACAGCATGAACATTCTGCTAAATATCTCATTTTATGTTCCACAGTAGAAAGAAAGTCTAACAGGCTGGGAACAGCACCAGGGTGAGTAATGATGACAGAAGATTCATTTTCATTCATTTTCAACACTTTAACAGGCTGTAAAACGAATGCATGTGAGATTTGTTTACGGAGTTGGTTCTCAAGGAAAAAGCAATATAAAAGGAAATAGAGGTGCACCTGGATCTCAAAGAAGGTCACTTCCTATGTTAAGTGATGTCACAGAACTAGAGGAAGCAGGCCATGTGGAATGAGGAAGGAAGATAGCAAGCTGTTGAAACTTTAAGGAGGCTGAAGCTGAAACACACACACACACTCACCTGACATCAGTGAGTTCATAGTACACGTTTCTAGTCTCATCTTTCACATAGATGGCGGTGCTGTGCGACTCCAGCATCTTCATGTTGAGCTGATGAGGGAAGGCACTAACGAACAGAGCTCTGATTGTATCCACACTTGTTATCTCATTAGGCATGCGTATCTGCTTTGTGTCATCTCCATACTGCAGATACAACACTCCTGAAAAAACAGAGAGAGGAAACATGAAGAAACAGGGTGTGAAAAGTTCAAGAGCATGCAACTACTTGCAACTATGCAACTAAAATTCTGTAGCATTTTGTCTAAATAAATTAAAAATACAACACATCAAACTAAAATCTTTTCAAATGAGTTTAGGCATCATGTACAGTATGAAAAATGCTAAAAATGACATTTAACAGTGTTATTAAGATAATAAAACGTGTGTAATATTGGACGATATCTGATATGTCACTGATACATCATGCATTTCTACACATCGATTAGCCAATTATCTCTTCCTCCATGATACTCTATGAGGGATCCACCCAGTTGCATGTGTGGCTGTGTAAAATCTGGTGGGAAGAGTATGTGGGTGAAAGAAAGCAGTAGGGTGTTGTAGAATGTTCTGGGACGGATGGAGGGAGTTCTATGTTTGTCATGTGTTCACAAGGGACTATAGGAATGCATATATGTGAAACGTGTAGTTCCATGTTGGCTTGGTAGGTGAGACAGCAGTGTGTGCTTGTGCAAATGTTGCAAAGAACACAAAACATACATTTTAGTTTGAAAACAGATTCTAGGTTGCTATGAAAAAAAATTGAGCACAATATCATTTTACATTATAATTCGACAGACAGACATTAGATAGATAGATAGATAGATAGACAGATAGATAGATAGATAGATAGATAACAACAAACAAAAAAACTAACAAAAATCACTCAAAAAGTAATAGAGATCACACAAAAAAAGAAGTTGAGAAAAACAGACTCCACCAAACTCACACATTCCTAATTGCATCAACTCCTCCTGCATAAAAGATAATGTGAGCATTTGCTGTACTTGTAAAGAAACTAGGGATGCACCGATACCGATACTGGTCTCCTGTACTCGTACTCGTACTCATTAAAATGCCCCGATACCAAACGCCGATACCACACAGCATGTGATAAGCGCCATATTCAAACAAAGAAACACCAACAACAGACAGCAGAAAGGAGTTAAGGATGTCTACTACGAAGTATATGTATGCAATGAATATAACGTTAAACATTCAGTATTAACGCCTGTATAGCTGATGTGCGCGAGCTGATAAACAAAGCACGCTGAGTGGATTGAGCGCGCGGCGGCGCAGATGCGTGAGCTTGTCGAGTGAATATACCTTTCTCACAGACATCACTGGAAAGTTTGTAGTTCGGTCGGATATGTCAAAAACAAGTAAGTAAAAAAACAACTAAGTAAAACAATGTTACTTAACGGTAGGGAGAGAGAGAGAGAGAGAGAGAGAGAGAGAGAGAGAGCGCGAGCGCGCTTGTGT